GATCTTTTATATACATCACACTGCCTTGGTTATTATCGGAGCTTGTCTGTGGTTTGTTTACACAGCCGGTCTGCTCTGTGTGCAGCTTAGTAGAGCAACTATATTAATAAATTAAGGATTTATTTTGACCAAGAAGCCTAACAATATTTCAATAACAATTAATGTGTTTCTGTTCACTTTGAAGATACGATGTTATAATGATATGCAATGTAAAATGACTCTTTTTGTCTATGGAGTCTGGTGGCGAGCCATATTATGGCTGTTTCTGGTTAAACAAAAGGCCAATCTCTGTAGGGATCCTTCCCATAATGTTGTCAGACACTTCTGAGTCCGTCAGTGGCAAAAACAAGCACTTTTAGTGGATGCACTTTGACAGGCTCATTTGTCCCAAAGGATTAACGTTAGCTTACATTGCATTGCACTGAGGCAATTGCAGCCCTTTTCATGAATATTTTCACATCTAACTCAGTGAATTAAGGGATTCTTTTAACCAATCCATCATTAGTAAATGTTGGAAAGACTTAAAAAGTTCCTCTGCTCACCCTTAATCAGGTTGTTATAAGCTTTTCCCCAGGTGTTGCGGTGCTGTGATGTAAGGATGCCAATAGGCTCCTTGTTAGTCTGCAAAGAGGAGTTCCAGATCTTCTCCAACTGCATGTACAGCTGGTCTACTGTCAGCGGGGTGCCATCGCTGTTGTACACATCCAAGACAAAAAACTGGGGGGAGAAGCCAAACCAAGATGATTTAGCCACAGATCCACTACTTTTTTAGCCACTGCACCAATGATAATGAGTACAGAAAGGAGAAGAACTGCAGTGCCATCTACAGTAGAGTACCTGGAAGTTGTGGACCACAGTGATATGAGTGGGAGCTGTTTTCCCGATGGCGTGATTTACAACAGTATCTCTCTTTGGCCCAGGGATGCGACAGGAGGACAGGATCTGGTAATACTGGTCCATACACAGCGGCTTCCCACTCAGGTACTCTATAGGGAGGGTGTCACTATGACACAGCATCTCACATTATCCATTTGCAGTTTTGGAAACCAAATGCAAGTCGTGATGATAATGAACTTTCTGTCATGATATCTGTTTAAGTTTCAGACAAACTCACGTGTCAATCAATTTTTTAAAGTCCAAAACTCCTGCGATCAACTTGGCAGCAAACCTGTGCAGAAGACAGCACTGTGTTATTAAGAGACATATGATGAGTCTATGGCTTGTTCGGTGTTAATCCTCTAAAGCAATTATGAAAATTAATGGCAAAGGTCAAACGGTTGATAAAGAGGAGAGCAGTTTACAGGTCTTCATTTGTTATCTGGCTGAGAAATAACAAAGATTATATAAAATGATGATATAAAAGTGTTTAGAAACTGCTGTTGACATTATTCTTTAAAGGACCAGTATGTAGGATTTAGGGCCACCTAGTGGTGACGTTGCAGATTGCAACTACTGCTTGTGTCTGTAATTGATGACCTGGGAATGAGAATGTGCTGTAAAGTGTGTAGAATGGTGAAACTTGCACAGTGTGAAAAACCCTATTTACAGCCAGTATTTGGTTTGTCTGCTCTGGGCTACTGTAGAAGCAAGCAGGCGGTTCAACATAGCGAGTTAGACGCCTTATAAAAGATGACAATACCAGCAGTGGCCCACAGCCAATTTAAGTTTGAGTACCCTGCTCTAAAGCCACTGTGCATATGATGGGTGCAAAGGAAACACAAAATTCAATTATCAGTAATGAACTCTGAATTGAGACACATACAAGCAAATGTCATTCCATATTATCTATTACTGCTACTGCCTGACTGGTTGTGAGCTCACACCTAAAAATCCAGCTGGCTTCACTGGAGTATTTCTCTATTGGGCCACCGTGTTCACTGCATATCCCATGGGTCACAGCAGTCAAAAACAGCTGAGCAATGCTATGAGCAGCCAGAGGGCTTTAAATAGCCGGCATGTGGAGGGAAGCCTGCACAAAGGTCGACTCAGCCTCATATGAGCTTGTTTACACTGCACTTCAACACAGTGTAAATCATGAAACTCAATCAACTTTATAAGAGAGCTTGTGGTCAGACAATTAAGGTTTATAACTGATATATATTCACAGCAAACATTAGCAGTACTGCTTCTACTTTTCTGTGATCGTACAGATTTGTTTGGTTTCTCACCTTATCTGTCCTTGTCGATCTTGGAAGTGCATGCGAGGCAGGACAACCCCGGGGCTGGTGTAGACCGCCACCGGCATACGGCAGTCTAGGTAGGCCGACTGCATCCACCATTCTGACAGCTACATGAACGCAGCAGTAGTCAGAAAGCACAAAATATTTCTATTTCTCAATGCTGGTTTTCATTACAGTCTTCAAAGCAGGATTACAAACATATAAATGTCTAATGAAGTCAAAGTATTCAGCTAAATACACCCACATATTTACCCAGTTGTCTGTCTTGCGTGCCCGTCGCTCCAGGCCTTTTTGCAGCCTCTCCCCCACGCCGCCCTTGAGGAACTCTTCCACCAGCTGCCGGGTGTGTTCCAGCTCTTCTTCGCTGACAATGGGCTCCAGAGCAGCCAGGTATCGCTCACATGTCTGCTTTAAGGGTGGCACAGGCAGCTTAGGTAAACCCTCCTGGTGCACCAGGGACCTCTCTGGGATCTGTGTTACTGGTCTGACCAGGCGACATGGCTTCACCATACCAGGGCGAAGCTGGAAGATACAGTCTTAATAAGCAAAAACTCTCCTCTACCCTCACAACAGCTCTTTGGTCGAATATTTGAAGTGACTATATAGCAATACTGCAGGCTCAGATATTAAAGAGTAACATTTAATTTGACTGATAATCTCACTCGTTAACCCAGAGGATTAATTGGATTGAAGATCCACAAATCCAGGTGTCAACATGTTGTCAAAGATGAAGTGTTTGCAATCGAAGCCTCGAATAGTAAATGACTCAGTGCAAATGGTTTAGGATTGAGTGCTGCGGACAACATTTCTAATTATTTACAAAGTCATATACTTTACAGTAAAGTGACTTGGTCTGTGCAAGCAGACACCAAAACAACAGCAAAGCAGTCATACTATTTGTTTGGACCCGCTGGCGAAGGCTCTGCCAGCTTATAAATAGAAGGTCGACACAGTTGAAATGGTAGCTAAAACAAACACACAAGCAAGTATATCTTTGCCCTCATGCTCAGTGGTGGTTATCAATATTAACTCTGATATAATCATGATAATATATTATATATTATATATACATGATAAAATATATATTTTTATATAAATATATTGGGAAAGAATCCCATCAGACCTAATTCATTAACGAATGGATTCAAAAGTGATATAAATCATTCACATTAATGAATATAACCTCTTGCCAAGCCAATGGGAATATAAAAAAACAACTTCCGGTACGGGTTTTCAAAATAAAAATTATGAACGAAGCGTTGTTGTTGTGTTTTTAAGCAATAAATGCAGAATATAAATACAACGATAATACTGAAGGAGGACTCTGTAGCAAATAAAACTACTACTATAGTGCTTTTATTCCCCGATGTCCTTTTTGCAGCATGCGCAGTAAGCTATCGCTGAGCTAACGCCATGCTAAATGTCACAATGGAGGGCAGCTAAAAACGCTCTAAATGAACACCCCGACATAATATATGGCGTACCAGACGTTTTGACAGCTTTACAATGGTGCAACATGAGTTTACATATGAAGCTAATACTATGACATTGTTGCTGTCCTGTACAAAGCGCCCCACCCCCTTCACCCAGCCCGACGCCGTAACCTTACTGCGTTTGTTATTACGCACTTTAAATACATGCAGCCTGGCACAAAGCAATGGACTCACCGCGGCTCTGACAAAAACACCCAACATCTTGTCCAACGGACGCGCTAAAGTATTTGACTGTGTCGGGAATATAGATGGGAAACCCTCGGGCAGTCATGTCTCAAGGACATGCACACTGTCTATTCTCAGCCGTCCGCCCCCCTCGGACCCACCGGGGAAAGACAACTGTGAGCTCTCCGCTAAAAGTCCTGATTTTCCAAGTGGAGTTTGGTACATGCGTGCCAGCGTATTACTAAATACTCACTGCAGCATCTTTCAGCAACAATAAGCCTCGTTTCATTAGCCTGTTTATTTATTTTATTGGAAGAAATGATAGATTCCAGTGATCCATAAGAGCCATTAATGAGCTGTTGTTTTTCTAGTTTGAGTCCTGGCAGAGTCATAAATAATAGATATGATATCCCACAAGACTGGTAAAATGATAGCAATGGAGAAAAACACAAGGTCACAATAAAACCCCATAGATGTATCATAACACCATTCTAGCGCACACTAAATAAGTTTATAGCCTCTAATGTAATTTAAAATGAGTAGAAGTTGTGATTTAAAGCCAATACATCAGTGTTTTTTAAATTATGTTGGTTTTATTGATTAATAAAAGCAGATTCTGGTATTAATAATACATTTACAGACTGATACTCTGCTTTAAAGTGGTGCATGAGGCTGTACAGATCTTTACTTGCCACATGATGGAGCTCTTCCAACATCTTTCCAGAGAAACAGCGTTAACTCATGTCTTCAGGAACCAGAGACAGACTCCAGCACTCCAGTAAAATAAGGTTTAAATGAAAGGTACACTTATTTTATACTTTGTGAAGAGATGGTATAAATTGGCACGAGATATGTTCATGTTCAAAAGTAATCAGAGATGGATATGGTTGCTCTTTATAACCACATTTTATCAACATTTTTCAATAACAGAGGAGAGGGAGAACTGCAGTCGTGTCATGGTTTATTTGAAAGCAATAAAATAAAAACGATACAAAGAAAAACAATCATACAAATCAAAATGCTTCGATTGCTCTGGTCCAACCGCTGCCTGTTAACAGTGTATGTTTTAAACAAATTGTTTGAGCGGCGAATATTTGCTCAAGGTCCGTCTGCTGCCAACTCACAAACTCAGATAGTCCACCTGAGCCCAACACCGAGATCAGGTTGGAGATGTTTGTGCTGTCCAACTGGTCCGAGTCCGAATGTGAATCATCATCAGTCCTCATCCGTTTACACGGCAGCGGCCCAAAGTCTGGCAAATAAAACTCTGGATCAACAATATGATAACTTGTGTCCATCTTTCGCTTCTTACTGTAGCACTGCGCGCCCTGCGGCTGTTTTGACTGCGCGCAACAGTCTGAGTGGAAGTATCCATTCGTGACAGTAGTCACCACATGCGTGTCCAAGTCCAGGACAGTCTTTTGGTTGGCTTGTGCGTTCGGGATAGGTAAGTCCCAGGTGGATTTGTCTGCACAACTCCAACAGGCTTCCGAAACCATGAGGTCAGAGTCATTTGGAGAAACCATTGCGCAGGCAGATGCGTCTTGGTGCGCCACCTCTGCAGGCTGGCCGATGGGCTGGTGCGCTCCGCAGTGCCAAGTGTCCGACTCAACCCCAGTAAAGTTGCAGTAGAAGTCATCGGCCAACTCTGTTAAGCTCCCAGTCAATTCAAGGTATTCATGCCTCTCACGGACTGCAGCTACATCCTCATAGTGATGCGTCCTCTGCGTTTGCGACAAGTTTTTGCTCATATAAAACTGCCTGGCGTTTCTCAGTACGTACGTTACCAGTAAGTTCTTGTGGAGCTTGATGCCTCCTCTCTGCGTCCTGGAGCTTTGGATTTTCCTCAAAGAAATGGAAATCAGATTCTGTGCGTCAAATGCACACTCCATCCTCAACCGGGCCACCCTTTCTTTCCTCTCAGCCTCTCAAAACGTTTGTTTCCTCACTGAAGAAATATTTATGCCTTTAGTTGAGATTCCTTCTCGATTCGTGTAGACTGTGTCCATAGCGCTCCATGTCTTCCCAGTAAGGGCATGGATTTGCAACTCTCATCTTTCCTTGCCACGCCCTCACGTAGACATTGTCCAATGGGAGGGAGGCGGTGCTTCTGTTATACGCAAATATCACTACGAGCCTCATTCAGAATGCACGTAGGAGCTGGCATGCTGCATCTCACTAAATGTGTTCTGAGCTTTTTAAATCTCAGTGCGGACAAAAATCATCAAAATCATTGCCCATGTACAAAAGTAGAAGAGAAGAGAACAGAGAGAGAGGAGTGGAATACATAATATAGTGAGAGTAATAGGATAGAATAGAACATAGAGTAATTCATTAAAAAGAGAAGAGAATATACAGTGGTAGAAAGTAACGGGATAGAACTGAATAAAGAATAGGAGAGTAACAATAGAAAGAGAGCAGTAGAGTAGAACAGAACAGAATAAAGAGTAATAGGATATAATAATATTCTAGAGAGAAATTGAAATGAACTAAAGACTGTAGTAGAGAGCAATAAAGCAGAACATAATAGTGTAGAATAAAACAGAACAGAAGGAGAGAAATAAAATAGAACATTATAGACAGTATTGAAATAGAACAGAGTATAGAAAACCAAATAGAACAGAATAGGGCACAGAGAGTCATAAACTAGACTAGAACATAGAGTAATGCATTAAGGAGAGAAGAAAATATACACTGGTAGAAAGTAACAGAATAGTAGAATAAAACAGAACAGAAAGAGAGCAGTAGAGTAGAACAGAACAGACTAGAATAGAATAGAATAGGGAGTAATAGGATATAGTATCCTAGAAAGAAATGTAAATGAACTAAAGAGTGCAGTAAAGAGAACAGAATAGTGTGGAATAAAACAGGAATAAAACAGAACAGAAAGAGAGAAATATAGCAGAGTACAGTAAACCAAATAGAACAATATAGAGTACAGAGAGTAATAGAATAGATTAGACTATCTGAGAGAGTAGTGGAATAGAATAGCATAGAATGAACCCTTTGGTAATATTGTTTCTGACATTGAATTAATAAGGAATATTCAACTGAGAAACTGAAATTGAATAGAGAAATAGAATAGAACATTCTAGAGAGCAATCAAACAGAATATAGTAAAGAGCAACCAAATAGAGTATACTGACAAAAAAGATGTAATCAGATTGCAGTTACATTTAGTAAAAACCTGGATTAGTTAGTTTTTCTTTAAAAATAATCAGAGCAAAATCTTTCCATTTTCTGTTTTCTTTCTACGGTTACATTGTTCTGTTGTCTTATAGAATATGCCTGCATCAATACTTCCCACTGACACTTCCTTTCTCTTGTCTGTATTTACATATTTGGTGTTGAGGTAATCCAAAAGTAACGAAAAGTAATCAGGTTATGTTACTTTAATATTGTGATACTTGAATTTGGTTACTGACTACACTTTTTAACAGGTAATTAGTAACTGTATCGGATTACATTGTAAAGTAATGCTCCCAAACCTGGAGATCAACAGAATATAGAATAACAGAATACAGTAGAGAGTAATACAGGCAAGTAACAGAGTAATACATTAAGAAGAGAATAAACAGTAGTAAAAAGTAATAGAACAGAACTGAAGAAAGAGTACTCGAATTAAACAGAACAGAGAGTAACAGCATATAACATCCTGTGTGTAGTAGAGAGCAATAGAGAAGAACAGAATAGTGTGGAAGAAAACAGGGTGGGAGAGGTAGAATAGAATAGAGGCTCGTGGTTACACTCAAACACAATAGAGTAGAGAGTGACAGAATAGATTAGAATAGAATATCCTGGAGAGTAATAGAATATAATAGGATAGCATAGAAAAGAGAGTAATATAATGTACTATCCTAGAGAGAACAGAACATTTGAGAGAGTATTGAAAAAGAATAGAGTACAGTAAAGAGTAACAGACAGAACAGAATTAAAACAGAATAGAAAATATATACGTAGAGATTAATAGAATAGAATAAAATAGAGCAGACTACCTTACAGAGCAGGAGAATAGAATAGAGGCTAGTAGTTACAATAGAACACAATAGAGAGTGACAGAATAGATGAGAATAGAATACTCTAGAGATAAATAGAATAGAACATTCCAGAGAGTACTAGAGTAATAGAGTACACTGAAGAGGAAAATAGGTGCTTTGGGAATTGTATTTTTCGTTTTGATCTTATTAATGCTTTGGTAATATTGTTTCTGACATTGATGCCAATAAAGAATGTTAAAATTTAATAGAGAAATAGAATACAACATTCCAGGGAGAGTAATCAATAAACAAGTCGATACACAGGATATAGTAAAGAGTAACCAAATAGAAGATAATAGAAGATAATAGAGTAATAGAATAGATTAGAGTAGACTATAGAGTGTAGTAGAGAGCAAGATGGCAGAATATAGTAGAGAGTTATAGAACAGAACAGAATAGAAAAGAAGCTAGTAGTTACAATAGAACACAATAGAGTAGAGAGTGACAGAATAGATGAGAATAGAATATCCTAATAGAGAGAGTAATAGAACAAAACAGAACACAGAGAGTAATAGAATAGATTAGAGTAGGCTGTAGAGTGTAATAGAGAGCAACAGAACAGAATATAGTAGAGTAATGGAATATAATGCAATGTAATGTAGTATATGGTCATAGAATAAAGTAGAATAGAATAGAGAGTAATATAACCAAGTAATAGAATAGAATATGATATCAAACTTATTAATAAAAAGCTCCCATAAACGACAGAAAGACTGCATAAAACATGTCTGCAACACAGTCTGAAAACTAGACGGATACTGGAGTACAAACGACGGAGAGTTGAGAAAACTAAAAAAGTGTGTTGGGCATCGACATTTGAAAAAGTCAACATTTTCCACTTTCCTTAGATCCTCTGGAGGACTGTTCCATGAAGCAGAGCCACAGCTTCTGAGTGCAGCCTCACCCAGAAGCATTAACACTAACCAGCAAAGAGAAAGCAGAGAAAAGAGAATGACATTCACCTCCATACAATGCTTTAAAATGTACTAGAACAGCCTCTACTATACTATGACATATACATGCAACACAGACGTTTCCTCAAAAGCCAAATTAAATATACAGTTCCCATACTATATATACACACACAGTGAGCTACATAGGTTTAATGCACATATACAATGCACACAGTAAATTATGAATGTACTGTCTGGACCTGACAGTGATGTCATTAGGACCGCCTCTGATAATAGAAATATTGCCACTGCGCTCAGATGTGTGAGGTAAAAGCTCTTTGTAGAGAGATTATCTGTCATCCGTGCCCCACATCTGTTTGTGTGTACACACACAGATGGCTGACATCATACTGAACACCTGGATGTGACTTTGATTTCCTGCCAAATACGTGAATCAGGAGGACAGCCACTATTATGGTTATCATGCTCTGATAATAGTGTAAATTGGAGTCTGACATGTGTGCTCTCTCTGGAATTTAGTTTCAGTGGCAGACAGTAGATGGATATTGTGTTTTATGGTACAGTGTGATACAGTATGGCAAAGCACTGTATTTTATGGTGAGGCTCAGTAATTTGTGGTATTAATATAGTAGTACTGAACAAATTAGTTTCATTTCAAGTGTATTTCATAGTTAAGGAAGAAAAGTTAAAGCTGATGGAAGCTTAATGTAATGAAGTTCTAATGACCTGTCATGCTGCCTCAATTCAATGTGTATTGGTAATATGTTCAGCAGAGGATATAGTGAAAGTAGAGTACAGTATATAGTATAGTGTAATAGGGTGAAAGTCACATTTAGTACATAATATATATTGTTTTTAATGATCACAAAACAAGCTTAGAATTATTAGAACAACCTAAATATAAGAATAGCCTAAATACAGGTGGGAGCTAGTGTCTAAAAAGAATGCAAGTGCCCTTAATAGAGGTTTGTGTATCATAATGGGTGGCTAAATGGCAATGCTAGGGAGATGTGAGTGTGAAAAAAGAGGGGGTATAGGGGCCAAAATGTCACACTGGGAAAAAAAAAAAAAACTGTAACGAACATTTTATTGAGCATCACTGGAGAGAAACCACAACCTGCAATCTGTGAGACAAACCCAAAGGTCAGACCAAATGTCAAATGGACTGACTGTAGCATCAGTTTTAAAGACACTGCTATACGTGGACACACTCGTATTAGCTTGAGTAATCTTACCTGGCTCGTGTGACGGTGGAGGCTTTGTTGGTTAAATGTAAAATGACATATCGTATTAATTAATGGGATATTCGTATGAGCAGTCTTATTGTTATTGATAGTGACTCAGTGTGCATAAAAAAGAACTGTAGAGGAATAAACTTCCTATTTGAGGGTTAAATAATGTTGAAAATTGTTAAAATGTTACTGAATTAAGTGTTAAATCATGAACACAATGTTTACTTTGTGGACATTTTTAAAGCACTGCAACTGTGTATTTCATAATATGTATGCCGTTAGCTCTTCAATTGAGAATACATAAACATATAAATGACAAACCACATTTCCAGAACTAAATCATTGTTGATCTTTAAACATTAAATGTTCTTGAATACTTGATTTGAGTAATACTTAGGTATTACTCAAATCGATGTATGATTTTTAATCTCTAAAACAATTAGGGGCATAGTAACTGTATGATTTCTTTGATGAAACAATATGTTAACTAATGTTATTCATATAGTGTAGTATTGTATAGTATAGTATAGTACAGGTAGTATAGTGCAGTATATCTACAGTATCGTTGTTAAATGAGTGTTAAGCTGAATGTCCTGAATATAATATGATGTTTGCACATAAAAACTGGGGGTGAAGTAATTTTTAATATGATAGTAACAATATGCGTGTTCTTTTATTTATCAGGTTTTTTTGTTATTTCCCATCTCCATACTATTGCATTCCAATCCCGTTAGCACTGATGCCAAATAAAACTGAAACTAAGATGATGATTTCCTCTTCTAGATAGATAGATTTTGCTGGCCCAGAGGGGGAATTGTTTTCACAGCCTGTGAACATACACAGATAGCACTTCTCTCT